ACATTCAACCCCAAATATTTGGCATGGAGAGCAGCCGATCAACGACTTCTCTGTCTCCTGCTCTCCTCTCTCACTGAGGAAGTCATGGTTGTTGTCGTTGGTCTCTCTACTGCACGTGATGTTTGGCTTGCGTTGGAAACTACGTTCAGCCATCAGTCAAAAGCTCGTGAACTAAGACTCAAGGATGACTTGCAGTTGATGAAACGTGGCACAAAACCTGTTGCTGAGTATGCCCGTGCCTTCAAAAAAAATTGTGACCAACTTCATGCCATTGGCAGACCCGTCGAGGACATTGATAAAGTGCACTGGTTCCTTCGTGGACTCGGCACCGAATTTTCAGCTTTTTCTACTGCTCAGATGGCTCTCACCCTATCCCCTGTTTTGCAGATCTAGTATCTAAAACTGAAAGTTTTGAGTTGTTCCAGCGCTCTCTTGAGTCCTCTGACTCCACTCCTACAGCATTCACAGCCACTAATCGTGGTCGCACCCATGAAAGTCACCCTGCTTCCTTTACCAACCAGCGAGGTCGTTCTTATTCTCACAAAAACAACTCTTCTAATTGAGGACGAAACCACTCAAGTCAGGGTCGTCGACCACCTCATTGCCAAATATGCCGCAAAGAGGGCCATTATGCTGACCGCTGCAACCAACGGTATGTTCGACCTGATTCTTCTCATGCTCACCTTGCTGAAGCCTTTAACACGTCATGTTCTATTGCTGGACCCGATGCTGCTGATTGGTTTCTGGACACTGGAGCTTCGGCCCATATGACTACCGACCCATCAATTCGGGATCAATCTAAAAATTACACGGGTAAGGACTCTGTGATTGTAGAAAACGGTGCATCCCTACCCATTACCCACACCGGTACTCTTCCTCATGTTCCAAATATTCACTTATTAGATGTCTTGGTTGTCCCTCACCTCACTAAAAATCTTCTTTCCATAAGTAAATTAATGTCTGATTTTTCTCCCTCCGTTACATTTACTAATAATTTTATTAGAATCATCAAACATGAACGGTGGTGGCAATCGGCAAAAGAGATGGAGGGCTATTTTAAATAACAATAAAATTTAAAAATAGGAATCATTAAACTAAAATTTAAAGGTAGTTTTTTTAGATAAATTTTAAATAACAATAAAAAAAATGTGGCGATGAACTAATTGAAAACCAAAATTTAATAATGTTGACTTCAGAAGGAAGGAGGAGAAGCACGTTATTCACGAGGCCGTTATTTCTCCGGCGAAAAGGATCTTAATACATTCAACGCCGATCTATTTATAGTTCTCTTAAAGAAATTGATTGAAAGTGAACCAGAGAGAGCAACTGCCATGGACGCCATTGAACACACCACCGTCAACACCAATGGCATCAAAATGCACATTGCCTCCATAGGCACAGGCCCCGTCGTTCTTCTTCTCCACGGCTTTCCCGAGCTCTGGTACTCATGGCGCCACCAGCTTCTCTACCTTTCTTCCGTCGGATATCGAGCCATTGCACCGGACCTCCGCGGCTATGGCGATACCGACTCTCCAGAATCGCATACTTCCTACACTGCGCTCCATATCGTCGGTGATTTGGTTGGGGCTTTGGACGAGCTTGGTATTGAGAAGGTGTTTCTTGTAGGGCACGATTGGGGGGCGATCATCGCGTGGTACTTTTGCCTGTTTAGACCTGATAGAATCAAGGCCTTGGTGAATCTGAGTGTTCAGTTCTTCCCTAGAAATCCGAAAATTTCTTTCATCGAACGATTCAGAGCTGTGTATGGTGATGATTTCTATATGTGCAGGTTTCAGGTGAATCTCAACTTTGATTGACTTCTAAGAAGAGATCTAATGGGTTTTATTCCGGTCTGATTTTGGTCCTAATTTCGATTAATCTCTGTGTTTATCTTAGTTGCTTGTAGTTGGATATATGGTGTAATCAATTTGTTTTCTACTACTGATGCTCATAGCTGTAGTGTTTTAGTGTTCTGGTGTAGATTTGATCTGTGCACTCACTCACATACACAATTGAAACCCTAATTATGTGAAATCACTGTACTGTTGAAGAATCAAACCTTAAAATATTGCTTTTCTTAACATATTCAAAAGTTCTATACAGCTTTTAGACTGTTTCATCTTTGACAAAATTAATTTCAGATCTACAAGCTGTTAAATCTTACTAATTTTTTCTTCTCTTCTGCAAGTGATTGCAAACTTTCCTGGAACAGAGTTTTGTAGAAGTTGTAGTTGACAGTCGAGTACCCTATTGGAACATTCCTTTTGACCTTTTTGTGATTCTCTCTTGATTCATTAAGTTGCAGATTAGAGAGAGTCCCATCTGAATTTTGATTCATCATCTGTTTGATTCATCAAATTTTGAGAGCCATATCGAACTTTGATATCAAAATAAAGTCTGTTCTACTGATAGACCATGTTTTATTAACTTATAGAGCAATTTCTGATATCATTTTTGTTGGAAACATGGGGATGGCTCATGCAAGCAGGAGAGATACAAATGAATTGATTGTGGTTCTATAATACATTCATGGCATCTAAGACAACTAAGTGTAGATTGATTTGTAACAGGTTCCAGGGGAGGCAGAAGCAGATTTTTTCTGCATCGACACAGCTCAACTCTTCAAGTCAACACTATCTAATAGAAGTACTCATGCTCCATGCTTGCCTAAAGAGTACGGATTTCGCGCGATCCCGCCGCCAGAAAACCTTCCATCTTGGTTGACGGAAGAAGATATCAACCATTATGCTTCCAAATTTAAGGAGACGGGCTTCACTGGAGCATTGAACTACTATCGCGCTTTTGACCTGTAAGCCATGTTTATTTACAACCCAAGTTCTCTGTTAATACCATTCCAATCCTACACTCTTCTCTGCGTTCTAAGTTTAACAATGGTTTCGTGTTTCGACATTAAATACATGTTCTGTTTAATTCTGATGCATTTTCATGGTGAGAAACTGTCGAATTACACAACCTTAGATTTTTACTTAACCTAAAGTCGCTACGTTATATGTATATGTATATTATGTATATATATGGTTCCCACATCGGTTGAAGAGAAGAACGGAGAATTCTCTATAAGAGTGTGTAAACTTCTCCTTAATAGACATGTTTTGAAAATCTTGAAGGGAAGTTTGAAAGGAAAAGCCCAAAAAGGACAATAATTGTTGGTTAGACTGTTACAAATGGTATTAGAGTCTCGAGTGATGTACTAGCAAGGAGACTGAGCCCCAAAGGGGGTAGACACTAGACAATGTGCATGCGAGAACATTGGGCCCCGAAGAGGGGTGGATTGGGGGTCCCACATCGATTGTAGAGGGAAAAAGTGTAAGCAAGTGGATTGGGGGTCCTACATCGATTGTAGAGGGAAAAAGTGTAAGCAAGTATGCTGGCCCCGAAGAGGTGCTTGTGAGATCCCACATTGGTTGAAGAAGGAACAAAGTATTCTTTATAACGGTGTGGAATCCTCTTTCTTACCAGACACGTTTTAAAAACCTTGAGGGAAAGCACTAAAGTTAAAACCCTATATAGGACAATATCTGCTAGCGAAACCTCGAGATAAAGCCCAAAAGGACAATATCTATTAGCGGTGAGCTTAAACGGTTACAATTTGACTTTATTTTGCTCGCTTATAAATGAAATACATATCGTTAGCTATAGGTTGTTGAAGGCAGCGGATAACGTTGATGGTTGATTATGATATATGAGTTGAATTGATGTTTATTGCAGAACCTGGGAGCTGACGGGGCCATGGACGGGAGCACAGATTCAGGTACCTGTGAAATTCATCGTTGGAGATTTGGATATAACGTATCATTTTGAAGGAGCCAAGGAATATATCCATAATGGGGGATTCAAAAGGGACGTGCCATTGCTGGAGGAAGTTGTTATTGTAGAAGATGCTGGTCACTTTGTACACGAAGAAAGGCCTCATGAAATCAATACTCACATTCATGACTTCATCAACAAATTCTGACCTCCATTTGCATTGTTGTATGGGTGAATTCACCTGATGATAATGTTTATCATCTTCTTTTCATTGGATCTTCTTTCTATTGGATCTTCTTTATGTTGGATGAAGTCCCATGCTTATCATCTTGTTTATCATCTTCTTTCTATTGGATCTTCTTTTTGTTGGATGAAGTCCCACGTCTCCTAATTTAAGGAATGATCATAGGTTTATAAACAAACAATAATTTCTCAGTCTCCTATAATGGTTTCTTTGTTTTTACTCATTAAATATTTTTTAAAACTTTTCCAATTTCTCATTTATTTCCTCTTTTCTTAAATATCAAAATTTTAAATAAAAATAAATAACTAGGATTATGGACAAAATAACAGTTTTATTTTTAAAATTATATTCTTACACCTATTCCAAGCATATTTTTCTTCTTACAGACTAGAGTCTCAGTCCCCTCCGTCTACAATAAAATCTCATGACCTAATTATCTTACTTGAATTTTAAGAATATATAATAAATTTCAACACCCAAATATATAATTTGATTTAAGGTTGTTCTTTCCTAACTCGAGTTAAGTTTAAAGAAATTAGTTATTTTAACACCCAAATAGATACATAATTTAAGTCGAAAAAAATAAATATTTTAAAAAATTTAAACATATTTATGTTACTTTTTAAAATTGGCATCTTTCAAACATACTATTAATTATCCAAAACTTACTCTAAAATAAAGATATTTTTATTAATTTAATTTAATTATGATTTAAAAAACGAATCATCCTAATTATTAGGAAGAAAAAAAAAACTAAATATTCTAAAATTGGGTTAAGAAACAAAATGCAAGCAAAATAAGCGGAAGAATCGGGCATCCTCCTATTTTTAATTTTTAACCTCCAAAAAAAACTTTATTTATTAACAATTTTCCAAGAGCTTCCCTCAACGCCATCCCTCCAAATAAAAAAAAATAAAAAAAATTAATAAATAAATAAATAAAAAGAGACGAAAAAACAAATAAATAAATAAAAACAAAAAACAAAAAACAACAGTAGCCATGAAATTTATCTCAGCCATTGTGGTAATTCTGTGCCTGTGCATGGCGACAAAGCGCCACGACGCCACCCGCCCCGTCGAGGAAGGGATGACCCTAATCGAGGAAATGTGTAGCCAAACCAAACACAAGGAGCTGTGCGTGGACTCCCTGACCTCGGACCCCAACAGCTACCCGGCCGACAAGACGGGGCTAGCCCTGGTGGCCCTCCGCTTCGCCTCTTCCAACGCCTCGGACATCTCGGAGAGCATCAAGGTGATGTTCAATGACTCGACCCTGTCCAAGCCGATGGTGCAGGAGGCTCTCCTCGACTGCCTTGACGAGTACCTAGACGCGTCCCAACAGCTGGACGACTCCATTGCAGCGCTGACGGTGAAGGCGTATGGGGACCTGGAGAAATGGGTGAATATAGCCATGACGGATGTGCGCACGTGTGGGACGGAGTTGGGCAGCGAGCGCCCACCGCTGCTGACGGAGAGGAATGATGTGTTTATTAAGCTGTGTGAAATTGCGCTGACCATTTCCAAGATTGCGCAGGGTGAAAAGAACTGATTATAATTATTATTATTATTCTATTTCTTGTACGGAGGACCCAAATCGCTGGCTAAGCCATTTTTATTTGTGGTTAAGCTTAGAGGGAGATATTGGGGTTTGGATAAAAACACAAAACTTTAATTACTTTTGAAACATAATTTTTTTTTTTTTTTTTTTTTTTTTTTTTTTAATAATGTTTTGTGGGTAATGGCCATCTCATGTTATTATGCCTTTTGGGTCTTTTTCTAATAAAAATCTATATGTTTCATCAAATTCAACCTTTCCATTTATACCTTATGCTTAAACCAAAATAACCTAATTGATTTGTTCAGATATTCACGACCAAGAAACATTAAATTCTCTTTTGGATCCAGTTTGGATATGGAAGGCCCGGAAAAGAGGAGGAAAGACTAATGCCAATAAACCTCTATTATTAAATTCAGAGGAGGAAAGACTAATGCCAATAAACGGGTGAATTCAGCCTGATAGTACTCTATTTTATTATTGTACCCTGATAGTACTCTATTTTATTATTGTACCCTGATAGTACTCTATTTTATTATTGTACGCTATCCAGTGTAATTCCAGTGTAATAGTACCCTATTTATCCAATCCAATGTAATAGTACCCTATTTTTAGAACGTCTAACTATTTAATATAATTTATCTAATGGGTTATACACATATCCACAAAATTGGTATGACATTAGTGAAAAAGTTAGTATATTCATCAAAATGGTGATCTCGGTTGACTGGTGTATATAGAATCATAGAGGGAGATGATCTATAAAGTATAGTTGATTCGTGTATATAGAATAAATGTTTTCATCTATATATTTAATGAAAATTTTGAAGGTAGTAGGTTTGTCTAAGACTTAAGATCTTCGGCACGTAAATGCGGCATTTTATGCTTTATAAAGTATAGTTGAAGAATTTGAGACATGTAAAAATATTAATGAAAGTTTTGAAATGAGGCCTCAAAATTTTAATCACAGGTATAGATTAAAAAGGTGTGAGGATATTTTTATATTAACTTTTCCATACCTTTAAAAGATATTATATTTAAAATTGTTTAAGCCCATTAACAAAGAAGTAAGTGATAAAAATAAATTAATTGGAAAAGGAAAAATAAGTAAGGAAAAAAACACAAAATAATAAAATCATCATCGAACGGCATTTGTGTGGTCTTGGCTGAACTCATCATCTCTCTCTCCTTCTCTCTCTCTTCTTCCCCTCACTGTTATCTCGTGGCCTTCTTCGCTTCAATCCCCTTTGCTTAATTCTCTATCACCGATGCGTGACGATTCACAGCTCCGACACCCTCTTCTTCTGATTCCTCTGCGTTGCGATTTCTTTTTGTTATTGAGATTTCGCCAGTGGCCGCCTCGATTCTGAGTTTCTGTTCCGCTTTCCTTCCACCACGGGAGTGGTTGTTTAATTTAATGCTAGTTGGATTCAATGAGATTTTCCTCTCCCACTAGAGATGACATCCGCTCCTTCGATGTCAGGTATGGCACCAGTACAACTTGTGAATTCTTTTTATTTTTGTATGTTTGATTGGGAAATGGCAACAGATTATTTCACTTGAGGATAGGCGTCCGGTGGTTTGAGAGGTTTTGAGCTTTATTTTGTTTCTTTTGGGAGACTTTGTTGACTGTTGGCTTGGTATAGTAGGGGAATTTGGCCTACTAGCTGTATAGATTGTGTGTTTTTGACGGTAATTTTCTGAATTTGTAGTTTCTTTAGGATGCGTGAATATATGTAAATTCTCGAAAGGCGAGGGAAGTGGTCGGTATGATTGCAGTGTTCTCTCGTGTGCATGGAAGGCTCCGAGGGTCTTGACGGGTTTTCTTGCAAGCACCACTCATTCTCCTCAGTGCTCCTCTTTCTTGTATTCAAGAAATGGCAAAAGAAGCAGAATCAATTCTGTAAGTGGTTTGTTATGCTTGAATTATACGAATTTTGACCACTGAACAGGTTACTTTATTCATTATATCATGTTAACATTTTTTTATCTCGTTGTCAATTAGATTCTCCTATATTGGAACACTATCACAAGTTACCGAGTTTTGTATCTTATCCACTCTTGGAACATTTGTGGAAGTCATCCACTTATCATGTTATCATGTTTGGTTCCTTTTTCCTTTCCTATTTTACGTTTCTGTTTAGCTTTTTATAAAATATGGGCTGAACGGTGAATGGTGAAAGTCTTATGATTGGTTGAAGACTGTTCGTAGTTACTTTCAGCAATTTTGTTGAAGTACTATCATTTTGACATTGGTATAGTTTTTCTCACCCAAATCCTCTTCCAAGGTGGCGGAGAAATACCTTCATGCCAAAAAGTATCATAGCGAATCTTCAGATACCAATTAAGCACTTCATTGAAGTAAAACAAGTCTTTTTCAAGTTTCAAGTGCCAAGAATTATTTTGACACTAATTACTTCCAATTCTATTGCATGGAAGTTGCTGGAAAACAACGAACTAAATACTGAACTTTAGCATCATTCTGAAACTAATGCCAAATTATTGCAGCCTCTTATCTTTTATTTTATATGACTTGATAAAGATTTCTTCTGCGCAACTCCTATATGTATATATATAACAATGGCTGTTTTTTTTTTTTGTACATTTCAGAGATTTGAACCTATGAATATTGGGGGATGGTATTCCAATTTAGTTACCAACCACGTACACCTTGGAAGATTACTTAAATCAAGTCAGCTTCATGATATTTGTAGAAGGACGAAATTCTGTTGCTCTTCATTCTTGTCTTCAGATGCCTTTGACGAGGTTTCTCCTGAAGGTTTGTGGGAGGTACATATTGTCAATTGCTGAATGTGGTGACTCTATACTTTACTCTTCAAGATAGAATATCCCTTTTAGCTTTATGTTTCGCTAATTTTTACTCTCCAACCTCAGGACCTTAAGCCTACTGTCTCCTATTTGTCACCTAAGGAACTGGAATTGGTGCATAATGCTCTAAAGGTGAGCTACCGTACCTGCCAAACTTAGCATAATTTTTTATGTGTACAACTACTTAGGTGCGTCGGCCCTACATTTTCCCCCCTTTACTTGGGTATAGCTTGCTTTCGAGGCTCATGATGGCCAGAAAAGACGTAGTGGAGAGCCCTTCATTATTCATCCAGTTGAGGTTGCTCGAATTCTTGGGGAGCTTGTAAGTTCTTTGTATCCTTTTTCAGGTAGAAAGAAAATTAGCTTGCAGTCTATGACTGAAAAGAGTGTTTTTATATGTTAGGAATTAGATTGGGAGACTATTGCTGCTGGATTGCTCCATGACACAGTTGAAGACACAGATGTTGTTACCTTTGAAAAAATAGAAGAGGAATTTGGTGCTACTGTTCGTCATATTGTTGAAGGAGAGACTAAGGTCATTTAATTTTTCTTTTCTTTTTGTCTTACTATTGATGTTTGGGTCTTTACCCTCTTAGCATGTCATGGTCAATGACCTTCTTGATTGATCTTCAATATCTTTCCATTTAGGTGTCTAAACTGGGTAAGTTGAAATGCAAAAATGAAGGCAATTCAGTACAAGATGTAAAAGCTGATGATCTGCGACAGATGTTTATAGCTATGACAGAAGAGGTGATATTTCTGTAATTACTGTTGTCTATGTCGTCATTCTTTCATGTAGCTTTAAAAAAACTAAAGGGAACTTTTGTTTCAGGTCCGTGTGATCATTGTCAAATTAGCAGATCGCTTGCATAACATGCGCACTCTTTCACACATGCCTCCTCATAAGCAGGTTGCTTATTATCTTTTAAGAGTATATGGTTGTTGACCTTTATTTGGTACTAGATTTAACACTTTTGCTTCATGTCCAGTCCAGCATTGCAAGGGAAACATTGCAGGTTTTTGCTCCTCTTGCTAAGTTGCTGGGTATGTACCAGATCAAGGTATGACCCGTTATTTCTCAGTTAATGTTATTATTCTTATTCTTATTCTTATTATTTGTGTTTTGCTTGTATCTTTTTATTTTATTTTATTTTATTTTTGCTGCAATTAGAACTTGTTAATGTTGGTTCCTAAGTTGTGTTTCTTTACCTCAGATTGCAAATAATTTTATAAGCAGATGACATTCGTCTCTTTTACTTGATTTCCATAAAGTGCATTTCTTATCATATGATGCATTGCTCTATCTTTTGAAATTATTTTTATATCATGGCACCATGATAACTATTGCAGTCAGAACTAGAAAACCTTTCTTTCATGTATACCAATCCTGAAGATTATTCCAAGGTCAAAAGAAGAGTTGCAGACCTTTCTAAAGAACACGAGAAAGAATTGATAGAGGTAATGCTGTTATCTTTTTCATTAATTTCTCTTGTGATTTCAATTAGGCATCTTGTTATTTTATCATTTACAAACTAATGAACGTTTTATAGCAAGTAAATAACTAAATATTACTTTTTAAATAACTGATATTTCAACCTTTAAAAAAAATTGAAGGCCACTCTTAATGGGAATGAGAATGAGACAAGATTGGGATCAATAATTGATTATCAATTTAAAGTAAATATGTGAGATCCATTATAGAAACTTAAGAATCGAAAATCAAAATGGAAAATGTCAACCTAAGCACAGTTCAATTGGTTAAGGCGTTACAACCCTAAACAAAAGGTCAGAAGTTTGAATCGTGCCCCTATATTGTTGAACTCAAGAAAAAAATGGATATGCAATACTATACCTTTAGGATATTTCATTTGATGTAAGACGGCCTACATGTCAAACACCAATAATTTGTTGAAGAAAGATTGATTTCGTTTTCTATCCAATTCCTAACAGATCAATGTAGCCAATGATAAATATGGTAATTGAAGTTCTTTCAGCATATGAAGGGATTGCATGGAATCTAGTTGATTTTGATATACTGTTTTGTTTTGTTTTGTTTTCAAGAAGTAGGAAATACCTAATTCTTTATTTCTGTCTCTCTCACAACTGTGGAACTAACAATCATTTGTCATTGAGGCGATATTTAAATGAACTCTAAAATGCTATCTTCCTTAT